CTTCATTACTGTAGGATGACGGTACGAACTTCGACAAAGATTTTAGGCCACTGGAGGCCATTCTGCTTCGGAACAAAACTAAAAACAAGCCAAAAACTCTCATACTACGGCAATGGGAGCCGCTGATTTCGAATTTGAAATTACCACTTTACTGTGATGCTTGTCTGCAAAGTTATTCCCGGTAAGTCGTAATAATTCATTTTCCAGCATTTGTCCGAAATGTAATTACACCGTCAAAAAAGCTGAAAACGCTCGTAAAATGTTGTTAGGTGGAATCAGCATGCGCGAAAACCCTAGTACACGATTTTTCAGAATTTTTGAAAAAAATTCTGTTAGGTGGTATATTTCACAATGGTTCCATATGCTGGAAGTTCTTACTGTAATCCTACAGTAATAAAGAGCGATTGATGATTCGCTCCATACGATAATTCTAAGCTTACCCTGGCTCTACAAAATGGTAACTAAAGCTTCTCGAATCACTTTATTACAAGAGAGTCATTTACAATCAAATAGTAGGTACATTTTCTAGGACACTCTGTATACAGTGCTGGCCAAAACTATAGATCCACTATAAAAAACTGCCGTAGTTCATCTGCTTTTCAACGAATTGATCTGAATTTTGGTACAGCTGTGTGTTCAACAGGCTTCCATCAGTGACCGGAGCGGATCCCGCTTTCGTTAGATTATTCAGGAGAAAAATCAAAAATTTCGAAAAAAGCAGGCTCGAAGGTTGGCCAAAACTATAGATCCACCTAAGATTTTTGTCCGCTAAAGTAATTCTCGACTTCCAAAGTCTTTTGTGCATATACATAGTCGAAAGTCAAAGCAGTGGCTTTAGTCCAGCTGCGACATACTTTAATAAGAAACGCTTATCTGCTCTTTTTACTTAAAAAATACTTTCACGCGTATTTTGTTCCCAAGAATGTGTTTTTATGGCTAATTTCGCAGTTTCTTGACTGGTTTGGAAGCGATAGGTCTCCATCTATCTTATAGATGCTCAGCAGTGTGAGCAGTAGAAAAAAATTCGAGTTTTCGTATTCAGAGCGCACCCGACATAGACTTAGCCGCGGGCCTTCGCTCGAATTTTTCCCTTCAAACTCTTTCTGGATTGTTGTCATGAGCGTGAACTGGAGTAATGACATTGTTGGTATGTATTAGAGTGCGTATGCAGTGGTTGCAGGTCTATGCAGATCCCATTATGCATGCTAACTGAGGACTTCATCCTGCAAAAAAGTGATTTGCAACAAGCCTCAAAGTTATTTCTGATTCTGATCATAATGCTTATGTGAGTCACAAGACAACATACAGTAGAGGGTGTATTCACTAATTAGCAGCTAAACAATGGCAAAATTCAAGGAAGGTACCATTTAGTAAGTACTTTGAGATTGCCGAACACACCGCAAGACTTATGCTTTGAAAAGGTGTTGAAATGCGACTTCGCGAACAATCGTGACTATGACTTGCAAACTTCTTTTGTGTAAATAATGCTAAATAATGTTTCTACATTATTTTGAGCTTGCAAAAATAGCGTACAGCAATTTTGAAGGCAAAAATTCGAGCGCAGGCCCGCGGCTAAGTCTGTGTCGGGTGCGCTTTGAATACGAAAACTCGAATTTTTTCTACTGCTCACACTGCTGAGCATCTTTAAGATAGATGGAGACCTATCGCTTCCAAACCAGTCAAGAAACTGCGAAATTAGCCATAAAAACACATTCTTGGGAACAAAATACGCGTGAAAGTATTTTTTAAGTAAAAAGAGCAGATAAGCGTTTCTTATTAAAGTATGTCGCAGCTGGACTAAAGCCACTGCTTTGACTTTCGACTATGTATATGCACAAAAGACTTTGGAAGTCGAGAATTACTTTAGCGGACAAAAATCTTAGGTGGATCTATAGTTTTGGCCAACCTTCGAGCCTGCTTTTTTCGAAATTTTTGATTTTTCTCCTGAATAATCTAACGAAAGCGGGATCCGCTCCGGTCACTGATGGAAGCCTGTTGAACACACAGCTGTACCAAAATTCAGATCAATTCGTTGAAAAGCAGATGAACTACGGCAGTTTTTTATAGTGGATCTATAGTTTTGGCCAGCACTGTATTAAGGCATCGGTTTCTTGATCCAGATATGTTTGAAAAATCTAATTAAGCATGAAATAAGTAAACAATCCCCAACCCAAACGGTAGCTTTGTTTTCAAACATGCGCTTGTCTGCGACTGATTGTGGCCAACAAAGTGAAAGAGATGGGATTTCGATTTTGAGGGAGGGTGTGCAAAATGCTGATTAGATTGCCACAGATGAGAATGGAAGCTTAATTGCATCCTTGTTAAAAGACATAAAGAAAGTTTTTCAATGATACGCAAAATGTGAATCAAAAAGGGATTTTTAATGGAAAAAGAGTTGTTCGGAAAATGGTCTTACAAGGGAGGTCCGATTAGTCGAAGTGGGCTTCGCAAGTGAGTCTTATACCACTTTGGCATTAAACGGTGATTCGAAATCTGATTTCATTATCTGCCGAACGCCTCTGCATGCCGAGTTATGAATATGTTCTTGGTGCGAAAACTGAACGCATAATCTAAGTGAAATCAAATTTTATGCTATTTTGAGCGCTCGAACAGAGCAGTGTTAAGTATGTTAAGTACGAATGTTTTAAACAGATGAGTGTTCTTCAAAAGCACTTTAATAATCAACATTGGACAACTTGAGCAGATGTGACGAATTTTGTTTAATTGTGCTTTTAATTTAACTCAAAAGCCGCTCATACAATACCACTCGTAATTTGTGAAAAATGGCGGCGGCACTCAACATATTACTTCTTCAGCATCTACATATTCGTTCAAACTGTCTTACAGTAATAAAGGCGTCGATCCACTTGTCAACGGTGTTACGGACGTCATACATTTGACGCCTATTTAGCGTGGCGCATGAACTTTGTGGTCATGATCAACGCAATCGACGATGATCAGATTAGATTGATATGAAATATATGTTTGATTGCTCTTCAAGCTGACCAAGCAATTTGAAATCACTCGATTTGAGTTTTGATAGCCATAGTCGATCGGGATTCAGCAAAATCCCTTTTCGCTTGTGAAGTCCTCAGCAGTAAAAACGCATGGGAGGTGGATATTTGTACGTGAAAACGGGCTCGAATTCACTTTTTGCTTTCTTTCGAGCTCGAAATCCTACCAAATTCTCATTCTAAAGGTCTATATGGAAACTCGAATCTCATGAACCGAAGGCTGCCAGTATTTTTTTACGACGTTTACCTTCATGATTTGCATTGATGCACAGGTAAAACAGTGCTTGTCTTTGAGGGTTGTCAAACTAAGATTCCACTTACTAAAAAACAAAAACACTTGTTTGTTTGTTTTCATTGTTTTCATGGAAAATCCTTCAGGAACTTTTTTTCATAGGAACAGCAAAACAGGGTGGATGTAGGGAAAATGTAGAAAAATGCTCCTTGAGGCTGCCATGAAGGAGCAAAGACAGTCTCAAAATGCAAGGCTGTGAAAAGTTAAGAAAAAGAACGAGGCAAGATAAAGCCTTTTCAACCTATCATTAGTCCTGAACGACTGCTTCTTGTGGATAGATTCTTGTCATTCACAATTACCAGCTGACAGCCGCACTCCCAAGCGCTTTCAGTCAAACTTCCCTTCAAAAAAGCGACAAAGAGGTTAGCGACATTAAGTAAGCTTTCAAATAACTCTTTCAATCTTCACATTATATATACAGTATATATGCTTGTAGATTGATCTGCAAGTAAATCTCTGCATCTTTCAAGTGATCTTTCTTTAGAGGTGGAGTTCATACTTGTAGATAAAACCACACCAGTTTCGTAGAGAACTTGGCAAACTATCAGAAGTTTTAATGCTGCGAGAAGCCATATAGAGTAGAGTAAACTCTTGCAAACAGCAATGATTTGTGGGAAAGCTAAGCTTTGGACCATGGTAGCATCCCCGGCTGAACTACAGCTAATGGTCAAGCCACTGAATAAAGAATGCAAGTTCGAGTAATGAAACGTTGTGACAAGTCCGGGTTATAAGTTCTGCAAGTGAGAAGGCGATTGTATAATGTCTGAAATCGTCATGCAAAACGTAAATAGCATGTCCTTCTAGGAATGTAAGCATTGTGAAACTTCAAGCAGTTCAAAAACTTTTAGATTTAGAAGCCCGTGTGAGGTATGTAGGGATCACTCGTTCTCAAAGGATTTGCAAATTATGTGTGCTCAGTTCATAACTAAAAAGCACCCAAATACTTGACTGCGCCACCACTCTGGCCATCCGACTGCTTTTATCCTTATACAAAAAACATCGCGCACTGAAGCTGACCCGATTAAATAGGCGTCAAATGTGTGACGTACGTAACGCCGATGACAATCGAGTTGACGCCTATATTACTGTAAGACAGACACAGGGTAGCTGAAGAAGTAATATTGTCTTAACTTACGCGGCGCCGCCGCAGTTAGGCTCCCGCCAGAGTGCCGAAATTATGCCAGCATTTCGATCGATACACGTGTATTTCGTTGGGGCGGGGCTAGCTGACGTCCCCAACGAAATACACGTGTATCGATCGAAATGCTGGCGTAGCGCTGGCATAACTTCGGCACTCTGGCGGGAGCCTTAGGCGGCAAGCGCCGCGTCGCGCGACAAGGTTAGGCGGAATAACGGCGGCGGGCGCCGCGTGAGTTAAGTGCCGCCGCCAGCCAATTTTTTCACAAATTACGAGTTGTATTGTAATTCGACGTGCAGAGGCACTCTGCAGATAATGAAGACAGATTTGGAATCAGCGCTTGATGCTCTTTATAGTCACATCAACATCATGTGAAAAGGCACTTTGACCAAACGAATCTCCCTTGCTAGAAGAACGGACATTAATTTTGCACCAGCTTAAAAAATCGAATAATGCTTTTTATCGAGGAAGTAAGATGCGACATTTTATACTGACTCATTCATCGAACTCAACAGTATAACGTTAAACAAATAGCGATATAGTGCATGGAACGTACCATCAATGTCCCAGAAATGACCATCGCTATATTGCATTCTTGTGACGTAAGGGTGAAGACAGTTTATAATAGCTATACAACGTCCATTTGGTGTCACGTGATAAATAACACGCTCTGTGGCCTGTAAAGTTGTAAGTTTAATCTCGAATAAGACAGTGGGTTAGTAAATAAAGAGTTGCAATTTGAAGTAAAGTTCTTACATTCAAACATTTTTTATCAGTAGGACATATCCTTATATCGTAAAGGTGGTCGGTGGGACATGAACATAAACCGCGATGGGTATCTGAAAAGTGGTAAAAATCACCGACGGTGCTAACCTTATATGAGGTTTTGTCCTTTTTTTTCGAACGTTTGTAGAACAACATTAAAGCCCTGAAATCTTTTAAACCTATATCGGCAGCATTTTCTTCTTTCTCCGTTGGTTAGTGTTCCAGTTTTCCTCGTATGATTTGCACTTGCACAGTCAGTTGCAACCTTGCGCGGGATGTGAGCTATAAAGGCGCTCGCTCTTAGCCTTAGTCAGTTCACTCACTCGCCTTGAATTGTTTCTTATTCTCAATGAATATTCCCCTTTTTCTCTACTCTACTGCCCAAAAGTCGAGAACTCGCAGAGTGTCGGAGGCGGGACGGAACAATTATATTCTAACGCAATCTAGTCGATTTTGTTTGTACAAACGCTTGATTTTCAAAATTTTGATTCAAAGTCTTGGATTACAGCGATTGTCGGACTATCGGAGCTTTCCGATTCTTCCCCTCTGCTGTTCGAAAGTTTGAAAAATTCCTTCTTCGAGCTCCCGATTTTTAGTAAAAGTGAAATACACATCCGCACCAAAAACATGAAGGCTTCTGAATTTTCTGCACGTTGAAGTTTGTGTGCTGTTGAACATCATTTGCGCAAAATAATAAGCTTGTTCGCTTCAAAAAACAGCTTTTTGGAATTCTCGGTAGTTCAGTGCGTTAACCTGCCCAAGAAGTTGAGGTTTTCCCCCAAATAAACAGTTATTACAGAAGTCAAAACCTTGAATGTAATCTAAAAGTAAAATCTAGCCCAAGGTTTACCTACATAACAGCTAAGCACAAAAGCTCTAAGTAACGTTAGGTGTTATGTAGGTATTTAGAAATATAGCGTCAATTCCGAACTGCTCAAAGAGCCTTGACGATAACTGGAAGGACTGCATGGATCAAAGAGCATGCGCAGCTTCCAGAAAGAGGATAAAAATCATGGAATAACTAGCTGGCCTACCCGGCTCCGCCGTATGTTCCGAATAGAAAATTCCATTTCTTAACCGATCCGGACAAACTTGGCACACATACACTTCGGGCCCCGGCGGGTGTCACAGTCCACTTTTCGTTATCGATCGATGTCATCGATCGATAAATATCGATCGATGTCATCGATCGATATTTTATCGATTTTTTGCTCAGCATGATAGATTACACCCCCCTGCCAAATTCCAGCCCCCTAGCTCAAATTTTGCAAAAATTACAATACAATTACATACAGACAAACAGACATTCAGCTTTATATATAAGATACCTAGTCGTTCACCGGTCTTATTCAACGAGTTTTGGTGACCAATCAAAAAAAAAACTGACAAAACTTCTGCACATATTTCTTCGTACGTGTTATGCATCATTTTGATTTTATCGGTTTTACTACCTAGCGCATTACACTTTAGTAATGTATTAAATAAATATATATATATACATCAAACCTCAACAGTTACTTAATAGATCTCAATTCTGAAATTATGTATTTCGTCTCTATGATCCAACTCACTCTTTCGCTTTATGCATGATCACGTAATCTTTCAAGAAAAACTCTCAAGAAAGTTCTGTTAGTTTTCGCTATTGGCCTGCTAGTTTCTGATCTGACCTGTTAAATTAGTCGGAAGCTTTGGGAGATCCTCCTTGTGTGTACCTTAACTAGATAGCTGTAGTTTAGGTCATTTTGAAAATTTGCTCTTTTGTATACCTTGTAGCCAAAGACCAAAGACCGAGAGTGTGCTAATGGTCACGTTGAACACATTGACTGTCAGCATTCTCAATCTCTGTAACTATTATCTCGTCACTTGAGTGCTAATGTCAACTGGATAAAAAATACTTTGAGGCATTTTTGAAATTACACGAATCGGCTGCCTGTACTGAAAAGATTTGAGTTTTGGAAAATCATTACTTTTGTTAGTAAACTTATCTGAATGTGTTCAACCTTCTCTAGCGATTTGCTGCTAACGGACGTTGAGCTTTTATTTCTCTTAGTCTGGCAGAGCTAGACAGTATTGAAAAGTTTTAACAAAGGTAACTTAGGCTGTATGCGCATACTACTCACTAAAAGTACATTAATGAAATGCGCCTATCAATAAGCACATCGATTATTTCCACACAGTGTAGAAGCCATCAATTTTAAAGTGTCAATGAGGTCTGGCTCAAGAATACTGACATAATTGCTTGTTATCCGGATAACCGGTCGACCCGGTTAAAGGCAGTGTCCCGGCAGATTCGCGCTCTGGGGAATATTGCTATTGTGGGGTTCCTGGTCATCCCACTGACCTCCAGAGGCGGTCCGGGAGCCCTTGAACCGGCGCGCGCTCGGACGCCTTCGCTTGCCGTTCGACTCGGGACCCCACGACCGCTCTCGCGCATTGTGCATGCTATTCAGAGCAAAAATTACAGACAGCAGGAGGTGGTCCTTTTAAACCCTTCGCGCGCGATGCCCGTTTCGCCGCGTGCGGCGCCGCTGGCAAAGCTAACAAGTCGCATTCACAGTCAACGGGGAAAATTCTTAGTTTGAAGCATGTAATATACCTGTGCCAAAACCTATCATCATGTTGAGCACGAAAGATGTAGAAAAATGATGCTCCGTCCTACTCATAGCCTTGTCAATGGTAGTGGACATGTTGTCCAATCAGAGGCGCGCCGTGATAGCGAGCGGTTCGAAAGGGCTTTCCCCCGCAGGCGGTAGTGCTCACTTCCCTGCGCTCCCCACGCTGCTTATGTACAGATTTGATGTGAACTAATATCTGCGATCGAATTGAAATCAGTCAACTATGCGACACCTTCAGAATATGGCCCGTAGTAAACCCAATTCACTTCAGATGATCTCAACTGAGGGGCTGAGTTGAGGTATTCAAGATAAACTGACTAGCGGTCACTCTCACATGCTTAAGAATGCGACCTAATCTGAAGAGTTAGCGTCAGGGCACGTGCCGCGTCCCATTTTGAGATAATTGATCGAAATAGTGTGCAAGGGATGAGACGCAGAGAAAAATCCCGTAAATTGCTCGTGAGTAACTTACGGGACATCGTACTTGACGTATTGTTGCAGTACAAGAACGCGCAAAACTGCACAATACCAGTGCCCAAAAAGGAAAGGATCAATGGACAGCTGATTTCGGCAAAAAAAGAAGAATAGGTTTTTTTCCTATTTGCAGAGTTTGTTTAGGTTTTTTCTACAAAAGCTACTCAGAGCGACAATCTTTCTATTTATCTATTCGATTGCACAAGAGGTGTAGGTGTTTCCTCTTCGATAGCGCGCAAGATTATGCCTGAAAAGCGATCCGCATTAGATCAATAGCTCGCGGGATGCTAGACCGAGGCGCCATATTATCAACTCAGGTCCTCTCAGAGCAGATTCCCCGAAAGGGGGTTTACTACGGGCCTATATTTCCAGTATGAGCGTTAACACTGAAGTAGGTAAAGGTTCGGATACTTTTGAAGTCCATGAGAGCCAGGTGAACTTAAAAAACAAGTAGCTGGACGAACAGACAGACATACTGAAAAAGAAGCGTATGTTTCACTAGATCTCATGCATATGATTGTTGAGAAATGCTGTGCATTGAGAAGGACTCTATTTCATATGTGCCGGCAAGCTCTGGGACTGTTATTAGGCATGTGAACGTGATAGAATAATGGACTGCAAATTTGGTGAGCATTAAAAGTGTAATTAAATCTGGGAATAGTCACCTTCTGGAGCTTAGATTGCATGCAAATGCTGAAACGGAACATTTTCCCATGAAGCTTTTTTTTGTAATCGCTCACTTTCAGCAGACATTGAACGAGAGAGAGTACCAATGCAGGTGCTAAATGGGTGGCGCTCGACTGATAGCCGGACAGCCGCATGCAGCGTGTGGTACAGTATGATAACGAAAATCCGTGTTCCAGTAATTCATTCGAAAACTAAGATTATTAGATTTTCTTTATAATCGAATATGCGTAAAACTGCATTTATTCGATTATGCGCAGGGTCAAGCGTGGGGTGCGGCACGCCACACCTGGGGGGTCGTATTGAGGAGTCAAAAGGGGAGGGGGTCGTAGTCGGGTAATCTGATAATAGTGATAACATGATATTCGTATCATATCCATAATTAGCATATCAATTAACCCCTGTAGACAAAGTGTGAGCGAATTCTGAAGATTCAAGATACTAGGCTACCTAAATGAAATGGTCAAATTCCAACATGGTTAACTTTGTTTCAAAGGTGAATTAGCTATCCGTTTTTGCACTCAAGACAAAGCACTACTCCTTCTTTGTCCACCTCAGGAATCCCGCTTCAGAAGACCTGCAAACTGTGGAATTAGAAGCCAACCAAAATCTCGTTTTTCCCATTTTTCGCTTTTGATCGCTGTGCTTTCACCAAATATTACTTAGAGCTAAGAAGACAAATCAGGCTCCAAACAGTCCTATGGAATCTACAAGGTTTAGGCTATCGATTCATATAAATACTGTCCGCTAAAAATGTTTTTTTTTGATATAGTTAGTAGGGTGCGGCACACCCCCTTAACTTGCCTTCAAAATCCAGAAAGCGCTCCATTGCTAGTGTGAGTATTGAGCACATAGCTTCTTCTTGCTACATTGGAAATTTGGAGCGGAACGCCCCACCTGTAAGAAAATTATGGCCCTTTCAATATGCCCATTCAGATCAAAATCAGCCGTCAAATTACGTGTGATTGTAAAGTGCAGTCACAGAAAATCGGGCGTACAGCTCTCAGAAATCTGACAACTCTCTAGAAAAAGATGATGTCCTCCAGAATGTCACACTTTGAGGTCCAGGGGTTAAGAGGAGGAAGAAGGGGTCGTTTGAGGGCTTTCATGGGAGGGGGAGGGGTTTCGAAAGACTTGTGCCTGACCTCTTTCTCAACTCTGGTAATGCTATCTTAGGTATATAGTTCAGGGGGGGGCTTATTAAGACAGCAATCAGGGGGGGGGTCGTAACCAGCGATCGTGTGCCACACCCCTTGCTTGACCCTGATTATGCGTATAGCCGAATAAATAAAAAAAGAATTTGTTCGAATTTTCATTCGTTCTGCTATTCAACTGACTTATTCGAATATTTGACGATTGAAACTTTTGCAGTAATTTCATGGGTTCAGAACCGTCCTGATCGATCAAATCAGTAAATGATTGAAGATAGCATGGCCAACATCTACTTTTGTGAGGCAGTCGGGAGCGATGCCGGAGCGTAGTGAAGACAAGTTCAACCCTTTGGGACCTGGTGGTGGCGACTGCCACCATCAACTTCAAAGGGCAGTATTACTGGTGCAACAGCAGAATTCTACTACATATTGCTACAGGTAGCTTCAGGCAACCTTTGCCTTCCTAACAGTGATTCGCAAGCGCCATTGCATCCATGGTGGTACCAGCAATGTAGGAATCCTTGGGCGCAGCTGAGTGACAAAAAGTCGATAGCGGTTGTCTGTCGCAGCATCTGCCAAAAAAATATCAATTATCTCCCTAGATAGTATGAATTCATACTAATAATATACTATTAGCAGAAGTGTAGAGTATGATGTTACGCGAGCACATCTGCTATGAGTACGCGATTTCATCTTTGTTGGAAAAAATCAAAAAATTGAAAGAAATTTGGGAGAAAAAATTAAAAATAAAAACGTCTTGTTGCTGAAAAAGTTCCAAACTTCGCTGTATTGTTATTCGAACGCCACCCGATCATAAACAATAGGTGAGCACTTCTCTCTCTTACTGGGAAAATGTCAGGTCCTAAAGAGTTAATGCGCGTTCTGTTTAGTGGAGTACATATTTCGCACAGTTTCGGATGCCGTACAAAGCGCGCTGACACTTCTAACAATGAGCTTCGAAATTCTTTGAACATACATAAGTGTGGGCTACAAAAGATGTGGGCAAAACTTATTAGCTGGTAAAAACGCGTACACAGAACCAGGGGCAATCATACAAAGTTCAAGCTCTGCTTGTAGTTTTTCCATATGGGTGAACGTTCAAGCAATGTCTTGTCGCAGCCAGGATTGATTGTGTAAATAATGTTAAAATTTTGAACATAAGCCTTCTGAAAATGCGCTGCTAATACAGTGGAAATGTTTTACGATTCTACTAATCAAAAGCAAAACCGCCATTGACCCTTACCTTCGCCGACCACTGGTCCTTCATCCACCTTGCATAGGCTTGTACAAAAGGACCGCTAGCCTTGAAAGCAGCGCCACCTATTCGAGGCATTGGTTCCCTCACTTGCCTTGGCAACCTTTAGTAGCTGCTTGGGCATCAAAAAACCCGAACGCTACTTTAAAGCTGTTTAAGGCCCGAGTGAGCATGTCGCAAGGAGCTGTGGTACGTCATTGGAACAGCCTCTACGTCAAAAGACAAGATTCTCACGCTTTTATAGCAATTGGACATAAATTTGAGTACTTTTCACGACTCTCTTCTTGGAACCTGGGCATGGGTATCGCTTATTGAAATGTTGTTCTGACAACCTTCGTGGTATCCTATCCTCGGGTATAATGAACGCAGAAGTTATAGGCTATACCAACTAGCATCGATCGTGGAGTCCCCGTAGCGAAGCTATGTACGCGCCTCGCGCGCGCAGTAACTTGTACCTGAGCGCCAAAATCGATGTAGAGATGGAGTCAGTTGCTGAAACTTCTTATGTTTGAAGCAGAAGCAGACTTTAAATACAAGGTAATTACTTACTTGGTAACTTTCGCATCTTTTTCACTAGCGGAAAGACCAAAGGATATCTCTAACGTGTTGTTTCTCATTGTTGCACCAACTCACCCTTGCAACCATTCAAAAACTTAGGATAACTTCAACAAAAGGAGCCTCATTAAGATGTGCTTAACTGTCTTGAGAAAAATCGTTACAAGTTCGCCTATAGAACCAATAAAGGGAACGCCTGAAACCGACGAAGCCCCCGACTAAATTATGAAAGGATTTTGACGAAAATCACAAGAGATAGCAAAGACTTTGAACAACTAAATGTTCTAAAAACTTGCATAGGCTGTATTCGTAACATTCAGAGGTATTCCAACTCAAAAAGAAGCTTCCTAGAAAGAAATCTCAAGTTCGATGATTACTCACAAGGGGCGGACCCAGAGTCGAAAGTGCGAAATGTGGTAAGCCATATATCATCTAAATCAGCGTGAGACGCTGTTGCTCGCTGACATGTCAAGTTTCGTTAAGTAGGATCCACACCTGAAAACCAAGTTTGGTCGTCTGGTGTACTGGATAAGCGCGGAGCCTATGGAGCAGATGGTCGAGGGTTCGGATCCTTTTTCCGTTTAACATTTTTGCAAGTTAAGAATATGATTGTTTTGCGTTATAAGGGGTATCCCGCGCACATGTACGGACTTTAAATCATATTCTACTGCTGAAAAGTTGGAATTTTCGCAATTTTTCTTTCACCAAGGTTCTAGCCGCTGGTATGACAGTCAATGGAATCAAATCTAGTGTATGTGTGCGACAATGTGCTAGTGTGCCTGCTCCCAATATAAAATATGAAATTTGAAGCAGTATTTGAGTAAGATTTTTTATGCCTAAATCTAAAAACAGGGGTATACATTATGAAAAAAAATGTCACTCACATACGTAAGATATACCGCTGACTGTCATACCAGCGGCTAGAACCTTGGTGAAAGAAAAATTGCGAAAATTCCAACTTTTCAGCAGTAGAATATGATCTAAAGTCCGTACATGTGCGCGGGATACCCCTTATAGCGCAAAACAAACATATTCTTAACTTGCAAAAATGTTAAACAGGAAAAGGATCCGAACCCTCGACCATCCGCTCCATAGGCTCCGCGCTTATCCACTTCACCAGACGACCACACTGGTTTCCAGGTGCGGATCCTACTTAACGAAACTTGACATGTCAGCGAGCAACTGAGGCTCATAACTCCTTTTAGAGAACCGCTTGGCAGATAATGTACACAGATTTGAAAGCAGCCTCTCACGCTGATTCAGATAATGTATAGCTTACCTCATTTCGCACTTTCGACTCTGGGTCCGCCCCCTAAGAAACAGAGTGGCATTAAGCATGGAATTTAAAGCGAAGGGAGGCAGTAGTGCAGATTTGCAGGATACAGTGAGGTTTGGAATATTAAGCCTAAATACTTTCACAAGATCATTAAATAGCCACATCTGCGAGCAACTGCTTGGCTCGTGCCTAGATTGTGCGCAAGCGCAACTTCGCCAGTGCGCTACGTAACTTCGCTAGCGCGTAACCTCATCGCGAGGTCCGCACGACCGATCGTGGTTAGTACAGCTTATAACTACAATGGCGGGTTCAAAGAAAGTCGCACATTTCATTTCTAAAAAAATCTTATTTTTACTCATGCTGCAGTCTCAATCTTTTGATCCAAAAATTTCGTTAAAAACTATTGTCTAATTGAAAATTCTCAGGTCTGTTCAAGGCTTGGAGAGTCAGGTTGGCGGATCAGACTAAGCCATTATCCTTGCTTGAACCTCTCCGATTATCCTTGAGCCATAGCAGTCTCAACTGCTGTTCATCTGGCATCGTAACTCATATATATGCAGGCATATAAGTTACTCGCATTTGTTCGTTTCTTTTTTCGCTTGTGATGAGCACATTATTCCGTTTGAGTAGTTTCTTTTGCTCATACACATCGAAGTACGAGCATTTTTTTTGTTCTTCGAATGTAAGGACGACTGGCCCCATTTCCACACTATTCTATAGTTTGAATGATACACCTTGTGTAAGGGAGAAAGAGAAAGATAAAGATAGAATTAACGAAGTATGAGGTACCTGCTGGTGTACGCTGAACAGTGCGAAACAGAGAGCTCTTAGCGTTACTCTTCTTTCATTGTTCGAAATGCTCTTGTATTCACTGCGCTCAAAAAACGTTTGTTTACTGTGATTTTCAAACTCTAATTAGTTCTACTAAATCTTTGAGATGTAATAAGCTTTCGTAGCTATGTTGTCTAATGTTTTGGACACCCATCACGCGATTTCACTCGCGAGCGACCTGGCAATTTCTCAGATGTCTTTAGATGCAGCAACATTTAAAGACTACAAATGCATAGTATGTAGAACGTTCGTAAACTGATGAAATGCTATTTTTCTGTACATTCAGAATGCTTTATGATGAGTTATAAACAAATGGGGTGTGTCGCAACTGAGATCTTGTGAATAATGCGCAAGGCCTTACGCTTGAAAATCTTCTGTACATCGCCTATTCCAAGCGGTCTCATCTTTACCATGAGATTGGCACACTTTGGAGCTTCAAAAAGTTCTGCGGTAAGGCCGGCCTCCTTTGCATGATGATGTATCCGTACTAAATTTTTTACGTCCTTCGTGAAGCTATCTTTGAGGCTCTGAGGCTACAGACTAGTATGATTGCAGTAGTATACAGGGTCATTTCTGTGGGATGACGCTTGCGCTGGACAAAGCAAATGTTCAGATTACGGAAGCTTTCCTGCTAAACACGCTAGAAACTGTTGTACTCTATTCCAACCTCATCGAAGAAATTTGCGGACAACAGAAGACTAGTTTAGAGGCTAAAAAGTGTGCCAACCTTTTTGATAAGGTTGAGAGCTGGTCTGAAAAGGCGACGGGTATACAGAATTTTCCCAAAGCTTGAACAACATATCTATCGTGAAAGCTTGTTACCATCGGTTGAGGAGGTCAGGAGTGCCCGACCTGGATGGTCGTATGAGGTGTAAGGCTAAGGGCATACCTCACGCGATTTCAGTCGCCGCGCGATTTGGCAATTTGCCAGATACTTCAAATTCAATATTGGCAGACCCCAAATGCACAGCATATTTAGTTTTGGTAAGTTGATAAAATGCCCTATATTTCGTACATTCAGAGACCCCTTACGATGAGTTATGCACAACTGGAGTATTGCCAAATCGCAGCGCGACTGAAATCGCGTAAGGTATGCCCTTAGCCTAAGACTGAAGGAGGAGGGGAAGAAGATCTAATCAGATTCGGATGTTGAAAAAATTGAGGCAATACTACGATCGTGTAAGGTGAAGAAGAAAATAGGTGTGATTATCACAACTCCACCAGAACTGAAGAAATGACTGTCGTGAAGTATCGAAGTCTAAATTTTGATTTTCTATCTCTTAGCTTACAGATACCGCAAGGTCACCAAAGAAGTCTCCTATGTGGGTTGGGTATAACCGTAATTAGCATGTATTTGAAGCTCTATAAACCGTTACCTATTAGTACGGTAAAGGTTCGGCTTTCCTTGAATCTTGGCATTGTTATAGTCACTTTTCGGTGGGATTGCTGAGCTTAACCAAGATTGGTATAATAACTTTTATTGGCTGACGTCGACGTTTCGGCGATCTACGCCTTCTTCGGAGCATAAGCATCTATTCACTATTCATCTATTCATAAGCATCTATTCACTCAGACGTCAAGGGCCAAGAACAAAACAAACCGAGGAGATTAGCTAAAGACATTACCAGAGCCACAAGAACTTATACTCACCTTAGACGCAGCACAATCGGTAGCTGGAGAACAGACCACCTAATGCAAAACTGTGCCTCCAACCTCTATTTATACGCCTGAGTGACCTGACCTCAGTCAAACCCACAGAGGGCTTGATAAGGCGCGAGTTCGGTGGTGATTGCAAGGCACTCGTCTTTCCTATTCATTTTTGGATTTTTCGCGGCAATCCAAAATGCTTCTAACGTTTTGCGTGCCAGGAGTTCGGGCTCAAATGATAAGATCTTTACTGCAATCTGGACTTCAGCACCTTCATGACGGCTTATTCGATATTGCCCCAGTGGTGTGGAGGGCCTTGATTTATTTAGCCGATCTAGATGTTCCTTGATGCGAACACAAAGTGGGCGCCCGGTCTCTCCGATGTAGGTGTCTCCACATGATAAACATGTGATCCGGTAAATCACTCCTGACACCATACAATCACCCTCTCTGCTATATGGGCATATTACACAACCTGGAGTCAAACACATACGGTCATAGATACGGTTGCGAACCAGTCGGCGCTTCAAATCTGAGGGTGGTATATCAACCACTCTAACGGCCTCTTGCAAACCCGCGCGTTGTACGCAGCGCCGCACTGCCCTGCTAAGTTCATCCGAAACAAACGGCAAGCAAAAGGGGATCTTATCCGCTATGGAAGCTGGATTGATCCTACTGCTCAAAGAGCCGCGTTGTCGGACAGAGCAGCCACTGGAGTAGCCATTTGATTTGGCGATCTGGGAAGCCATGTACAAAGATACGGCACGCT